CAAGCACAAAAACATGCAGACTCCGCACAAAAAGACTCCACACAGAAAGATCCCAGATCCGAACCGGGGATCAAACCCAGGACATGCTTGCTGTGAGGCATCAGTGCAAACCACTGAGCCATRGTGCCACCCAAGTGCCATCGAATCGACCACCAGTTTGGTGGCACTTGCYGTTCGTGGAGCAAAGTTTGAAAGCTTTTTGTTAAATGCAGTTGTTTTTTTTTTTGTCAATGCAAGTTGCAGTTTCTTTTTTATATACATTTTTATTTTTTTCTATTCAGCGCGTTTTATTATTTGCTGCACATTTGCACCTGRTGGCCACTGGAGTTCGCAAAATGGTTCTTACTTGCTGTTGTTTCTGTGTTTACTGTCGTTTTGTTGTTTGCAGCGTGTTTGCACCTGTCGGCCACCGTAGTGAGATGAGGTGTGGAGATAGATGCTCTCTGTGGTTTAGGACAAAACCTACAGTTGTTCTCTGAAAGACTTATAGGGCTTTGGAAAAGGTCATTGCATTAGTAGCTATCATATTTCAGGAGTTTATGTAAATTTTGAATTGTATAAACAAATGCAGTTCCACATCCTGCAGAGTGTTAACATGTTAAAACACTGAACATATCAAACTCATGACTCTGTTTCTCTGCATATGATGCTTACTGGTGTAAAAATTATGAGCTTACACCAAAACTGAGGTTTTGCAGTTGTTGCAGGAAAAAGCCCATGTTTTATCAAAGAAGGGCTCACAGAAAGACAACCAAAAYACAAATTTAACAGTCTTTATCCGAAGGCTGAGTCCGGGCCTGATCCGTGTTCAGTCCTCCAATGAGCATTCAGAAAAAACACGGAGGCGGATAGGCAAGTAAATTTTACTTGCCTCTGATGCGCCTCCGATCCACTGGTGGGCAAAAATGGTGTGATTTCTGCCTTAAACGTTTCCAGACATTTTCAGATGCCACCAGTGGCTTCTTATTTTAACACCAGGGTGTCAGACAGCTTCCTCCGGTTCTTGATGACACCCTTGGCTAAAATAAAAAAAAATGAGAAAAGGCTTTTAAGAAATTTTAGGGGCCATTGTTAAAGAGTTACTGTGTGTTTCTTTGATTTATTCAATARTTCATCTTTTTAAAAACAAGGAATTTAATATATCAAATCCTCATTGAATAACAGACAATGCAGCCTTTATTTGAGTATTGCATAAATAAAGGGAAAGGGATATACCTGACATTTTCCAATTTCCTTTCCCTGAGCCCTATATACCGAGCATCATAGATTACTGTACATGCTGTAAGTTAATGGAAACAAAGGAAAAAAAAGTCAAAGCAAAAGAGGAAGGTGAGTCTGAGAGAGAGAGAGAGAGA